GACGTCCAGATGGTAGATCCGCGGGTTCTCGTGCCGGTTAGGGGTTGCGTGGAGGGTGGCGAGCTGGTCGGCGATCTGGGCGCGGATGGTGTCGTAGTTGGCGATTTCGGATAAGGGCGTGCGCTCCTCGACTTCGACGGCGAAGGTGAGCGCGGCGTCCAGGTCCCGCAGCAGCTCATCAATGGCGGTCGTGTCCACGGCGAAGTCGACGGGGATATCCGCGCGGAAGACGCCGGCCTCGATGCTCTCCACGTGGCCCCCCACATACGTCTCGCTGTCCAACAAATGCCCTTCCCAGAAGGCCTCGCGCGGCTCCACGTGCTTATTTGGCAGCACGATCCCCTGCCGGTACGCCTGCACCATGAGCAGCATCTCGCACAGCGTCCCGGTCCCCTTGCGCAGCACATCCTCTGGCGCCAAGGGAATGATAGTGCACAGCGAGAAGAGGAACGGGTGGACGTACTTCATGTACAGATAATACGTCGCCACGGCGTCCGAGACGCTGTACTCGGCCAGCGTCTGCGGGGACGACGCGGCGAGGGGCGTCATGAGTTCCGGGTCGAGCTCGTCCGGGTCGTAGCCCAGCTTGGCGACGGTGACGGCCTTCAGCCCGCGCGAGCCCTGCGGGAGGTACGAGTCGCGGTTCACCCACGCGAAGGCGTCGAGGTGCGCGCAGTGCGTGCTGTGGTAGATGTCCTCGCTGTTCTTGCGGAAGCCGATCTCGCGGTACATGTCCATCCCGTGGATGCTGGCGCGGGCCTCGACGAAGGGCCAGTCGAAGAAATCGCCGTTGTACGTCACGATGATGGTGGGTTTGGCCTCCTTGATGCAGTCGAAGAAGCGGGTGAGGAGGGCGGCCTCGTCGGGGGCGTTGTGGATGAGGAAGGGCCCCGGGAACTCGGGCCGGGGGGTGTACTCGAAGTCGGCAATGTCCTCGCTCACGATCGCGCGGTTGGTGAGCAGGAAGCCCTGCCCGTCGAGCATGTAGGAAATCATCATGATCTGGTCGATCGCCGCGTCGGGGAACTTGAGGGGCAGTTTCGTCGTCTCGATGTCGTAGGCCAGCACGATGGGGTCCGCACGGGTGAGCCGGTCTTCCAGGCAGGTCAGGGTGATGAGGCCGTGGCGCGGGGTCACGGTGTACCATTTCCCGACGCGGATGTCCAGGTCGATGGCCACGCGGACGTGGTAGGGCACGTCGTACTCGCGGATGTCGAGGATGTAGTCGCTGGCGTCTGTGTTCGCAGCGCCGGGGCGGTGGGTGTCGAGGTGCGCGTCATCGAAGAGGTCGAAGCCGGCGGTCGCGCTCGCCACCTCGGCGTAGGTGTCCATGGCGCCGACGTTCTTCCTGTTCCTCTCCGCGATCGGGAGGACCGCCCGCCGCACCGCGAGGAGCTCGTTGACATTCGCGAAGGCCAGGCGAAGGAAGGTCCGCCGGTAGCCAAGCAGGTGATTCGGCATCTGCAGATCCTCCTTCACCACCCGCTCCACCCCTTTCACACTCCCCTCGAACGTCCGCCGCACCCACTCCTCCACCTCGCCCTCCCTCCCCTTCTTGACCGCGAGCAGGAAGTAGGGATCGTACTCCACGCTCGCCTTGAACCGCCCCTCGCCGTCCGCGTCGATGAAGTAGAAGTCCACCGCCGCGCGCCCGCCGCCGCCGGGGACCTTGGCGTCCTCCAGCGTGGTGGAGTGCATGTTCATCAGCCAGCCGACGCGGGGCTTGCCGGCGTCGAAGCGCTCAAAGGACTGCGCCTCGTCGATGCTGTGGGCCAGGCGCGTCGCCTCGAGCGCCTCGCTGCGGTTCGTGGCTTCGCTGCTACGCAGGTCGGACCGGCCGATGCTCTTCGTCTTCGTGATGCGCTGGTTGATGGGCGCGCCGGCGCCGAAGCGGCGGGGCGCATCTTTGCGGCGGACCGGCATGGTGAGAAATGTATGGGCGACGAGGCCCGATCACGTTGTTGCTATCGTGACATCGTCTGGTTCATTTTCGCGACCAAAGAGCAGAAGAAACCAAAGAAGATGATGTTCGTCCAATGCTTCACGTCCGGAACTTGAGAGTAGCGCGTCCTAGCGCGTAAAGTGCTACGGTCGACTATTTCTCCCGCCCGTCCCCCGCGGAACATCTGCGCTCGCATCGCCGCATCATCGCCGTCCTTTCATCCATCCCATCTTTCCTCCCTCTCACACCACAACCATGGCAGACGATACGCGGCAACCCCCGCCCACCCCCAACGCCAGCTCCACCTCCACCCCGACCACTAGCCCCTCTGACACCCCCCCGGACCTCTCCCGCGAAGCCCTGACCGTCGACCCCTCCGCCCGCGCCTTCACCGGCACGCAATGGCAAGGCGGCAAGCAGATCCCCTTCAAACCCCCCACGGCCCCTCCCCAGAACGCGAATCTCCTCTCCGGCGGGACGGAGAATACCGCGGGCGGGAAAGTGGTGGACCCCACGGTCGGCAACGCGCTCGCGATGGTGTCGTGGGACGGGATCACGGCGCTGCCGTCGCGGCCCTGCGTCCGGGACGCGCTGCTCACGGGTCTGGGAGGTGGGTTCGTGATGGGGGGTGTACGGGCGGTATTCGGGGGTAAGCTTTCACCCACCCACCCAAACCACCAAATGCTTTGCACGGAACCCCCCCAGCTGACGATGTGGTTTTCTGCGTGATGTAGCCGCCGTTTGGAACGCCTGCTCCTGGGCCGTCGCCTCCACGCTGCTCGCCTCGAGCGGGATGTACCAGTACTGCTACTACCGGCGGCACGCGGAGAAGGAGGGCATGCTGCGCGTGGTGGAGATCATGCAGCGGAAGGAGGTCGAGAGGAAAGCGCGGGAGCAGAGGAAGGGGCGGGAGAAGGTCAAGGAGGAGCGGCGGGAGGCGAAGGATGTGGAGATTGATGGGCGGCTGGCGGCGTTGAAAGAGAAGAGGGCGGTCGCTGATGGCGGTGGGGCGGACGTGGGAGGGGCTAGTAGGGAAGGAGGGGGCGCTGGAGCGGGGCAGGGGAGGCCGTGGTGGAAAGTCTGGTAGAGTGAGGGGGTTTGGTGTACAGATACTGTATCATACACACTTCTCGCTCCTGCGCTCCTGCGCCCTTCCCAGTATCCCTCATACCACGCTGCGGATGCCCGTAGGAACGAACGGGACCGAGCATGCTGCCCGCGAGCGTCCCTGTGGGTGAGACAGCCAACAATTGTCCTTCATCTCCTACGAGCGAGAATCTTCTGTCTCGCTTCCCGCGGCAACCTCAGCGAGGGTGGCTTCGGTCCGATTCTCAAGATGAACCTGCAGGCTGTCGAGGGGTCTGTGTATCTGCTCGCACCCGCCACATCAGTGGCACACGTTGTCGCTCGGTGTCAACTCGACAAGCTCACCGTTACGCGGCACATCGCTTGTAAGGGATATGGATATGGCTGGCGTCACGGCATCGGAATGGAAAGACTCTTCCGTACCATTTGACCTCCGCTTCATCGTCGATGGTGTCGTCTGCAAGGCACTCCGCACACTGTCCAAGCTCACTGGACAACACGTGCTTGTCTGGCATCATGTCGAACAAAGCGGCGAGGGCACGCTCTCGAAACACGAGCGTGGTCTCTTTCTTCCCATCGGCAAGCCTGTCTGTCTGTACAATGTGCACCAACCTCATACTAAGAACTCACTACTTGAGAAGCGATGGCGACCTCTCACGGTCCAGCTTGACTTCGGTGCTTGGGTCGTCCAAATGTCGCTCTCCTGGTAGAATTCAGGAACGAATGATCTACGTTCTACAGAGCGCGCCTGGGTACTGTTTGATGGTCTTCGATCCGGGCAACTGCATGACTTCGCTGATGCTGCCACAATCATCCGAGCTGGTCGATTCGTGCGTCATGAGCGCTCATTGACATCGGGGGTGGGCTCTGCAAACACCAGCGACATATCCCACAGACACACTCACGCCGCAGCGAGACAGACCAAGGACGCACTTCTGGTGCCTGTCGAAGGGCATCAACGAGTGCTGTAGGTGAGCGTACTGTGAAAGGATGTCCACGACCTACGCATTTTCCGGCATCCTCGGCACCCCGATCCTGCCATTGACGGACACGAGAAGCTCCTCGTTCACATCGCGCGCATCCTCGACATGTTCGACAGCAGCACCGTCACCATTGCCGTCGGTGTCAGCTTCTAATACGTCTGACTCGTCATCTTCGTCGTGCAGGTCTTCCGTGTTGGACTTGGCGGCCGGCGCCTCGACTTACTTCTTGGCATGCTCGTACATGGCCGTAGTGAGGACACTTGAAGCCTGAAGGAGCCTGATGCGAGCTTGCGATCCATCATGGGTGAGGTTCTCCATGAACAATCATGTCGACCGTGAACCTGGGTCACAGCGGGACGTCAGAGCGCCAGTCGTTGTTCGTGACCATCCTGCCCTCCCGCCCGGCCGATGCCACAACGGCCTCGGGTGGCGATGTTGCGTCTGAGCGGCACGTCCGCAACCAGCTGAAATTCGGCATCTGGCGACTTCGCGCGTTGTCTAGCTCAGGTCAACGACAAGGCCATGAGCAGCACCTCGCAGACAATCGAAGTTTCGAGAATCGCCACCACGGCATCCACTTCGACAGAGAGGCAGTCAGTCTGTCCGCTCATGCAGCACACCGGACCTGCGCTGAACGACCTTGCGCGCTGCGGCGGCCTATTCATAGCGGTAATCGTGTATCATCATCTCCGTCCTCGGCCCAGCGCCTCCTCCACGTGCTTATTCTTTTCGTGAATCACTTCAGACGCGTGTGGAAGCGAGTGCCTGAACGATGAGAGTGAATGTTTATGGAGGCTGTGAACTGTGGAGTCACGCGAGTCAGGTATGCGGGGTTCAAAGTCTACCCCGCGCCGAGCCCCTGTATGGCCTGTGAGGCGCTTATGGGTCAACGGCACCTCCAATAGCCAGGGAAAAGAGCACATAGCGAACAGACCAACATATTGGATCAACAGAATGATATTGTGCTGCAAAAGAACCTTCGACAGAGCCAAAAACAAACCGGATCGAACGATTGACCTTAGGATGTCTTGGCAAGGCTCAGCATTCTTGGCGAGGCTTAGCACCACTGCAATCCCACGCTCTACCACTGAGCTACGAGAGCATTTCCAGAGTGCTAGGTACAAGACAATATAGTGCTCAAACGCAGCCTCCACCCTGTCAGCATTGTCTCGCTCCTAATCCTCAGCATGCACCAATCCTATGGTGTAAGGAGGTCAAGTACAGCAGAGCATACGCCATCGTTGATACTTTGCCGACGCGCTCGTTGCGTACCAAACACGCCGATCTCCATCTTCGCCTGCATTACGATGAACATCGCTCAGTATCCCTCGCCCGAGGTGCTAATACACTACCCACGAATGGACATGAGATTGATAACCGCGACAGACATCGCGACCTCACGCTACGGGGAAAGCAAGCCATGCAGCTGACAGTCGCCTGAGCCTGCACAGCAGGACTTGAGCGCAGCGCCAGATTGAGCGGCTTTTGCGAGCCTCTTGGCTGATGGCCGCCGGCGAAGCCGTCTCCAGCTTCGGATTGACAGGCTATGTGCGACCGGCTGGCGAGGCTGTCATGCTATACCGGCCAAGCATGCTATCGGCTGATCCAGATCTTCGAGTCTCCGGGGGGAGCAAGCAGAGCGCGGCGCATCTCAGTCAGCTACGCTGTGCTAGCATGGAGTGAGGTCGAAGCGTCTGTACGTGCCGCCTCTTGCTCCCTTCCCTCCTCGGGTCGTGCCGTTCGCTATAGCAGCCTCCTGTGATGGCGAGTGCGAACTCATGGTCACCACCGACGGCACCATCACCACGCACCGCAACGCCGGCGCCTCCCATGACCTGACCTACGCCAACGAAGATCCGCGGAGTTGGCGCGACCGATGCGACGTCGATACTCACCCTATGTCACAAGCCGGCGACGACCGCACAGACTTTGCTAAAGCGTCGGGGGTCACGCCGGAGCAGCTGTAAAGCTGCTGTACAGCTGCAACGCGGTTCCCGGGCTTGCTGGCGTGGATCGCGCTACGCAGTTCCAGGCTGGAGAGGCGCACTGTGTTGGTATCCGCGGCTCAATTGTGCACCGTAGCGCACTTGGACCGCTTATGCTTGGGCTGGGACAGCCGTACAAAGAGGTCCAGGGGCCTGTATACGATCGGAGTCCCACACTGGATGCTGGGAGTCACATAGTCCTCACGGCGGCGTCCACCAGGCGGACTGGGTCGTTTGCTGCTTCGTGAGCCGTCTCGTCGATCTCGATGGTCGTCCCAGAGTACGACAGGTCGTATTCGAAGAGTGCAGTAATTGTGCACATAGCCAACGTAAGGCGCAAGTTGTGAGGTCGGCTGGCCAAGTCTCGCCACCGAGTCATGAGCCGGCGTGGCTGGCAACCACGACGCCTTCCATCTCACCGAAGCTCAATCACATGCGGGACATGACGCACGCGTGAGCTTCCCAAGGTGCTTCCGCCTGCCACAGATTTGAAGACAAAACGTCCCATGTCTAATACTACAGCCCGGGCATGACCAGATCAGGCTGAGCAGGCTGTCATATCTCCTTCGCTTGTCGCTTTCGTCTCCGCCACTGCTCACGTACTTGACACCACTTCCACAGGACCGTGACGAAGCTCCCGACCCCATTCACAGGCAGCAGCAGATACTGCTTAGACGATTGTGCAACCAGACCGCACATCCTGTTCGGGCGATACCGAGCCGCACACCACCACCTTGATCACAAGACCACTACAAACGCCACCGACCTTGTACCGGCGGTTGCAGCAGTATGGAGCTCCTCCGCGACGTCGTCGACCAGGGCCGTCGAGCAGCAGTGGACCTACTCCACGGCCAACAGATCAACCACTCGGCGCCCTTCTCACCCGACGTGCCGGAAGATCTACGCAATTGGCTCCCCGATCTCTTCGACCGCTTCCCAATCGTCTTACCGTGGGAGAAGGCCCGGCCCGTCGATCCCGCCCTCCACAGCGTCTGGATACTCGACAATACCGCCTTCCGAACTCCCGCTCCAGGAGACTACAGGCCCGACCTGGCGAAGCTCCAGAGTCACCATGATACCCAGCCGAGATTGACCAGCCAACCCGGACAGACCACGCAGAGTGTCCAGCCTGGGAAGGGCGCCTGGGAAGCAGAGTTCGTCGTAGCCTACTTCATCAAGAACTCTGGCAAGGACCTGGCGCACGCCACCGCCGCTTTGATCAAGCAGCTGAACGTCGACGACTCGGATGAGGCGACCAAGAAGCGCATCAGCGCGCGACTGCAACCCTTCATCGACACCGTGCTGCCCAACCGCACCCTGCGCATTACCATCGACCAGCAAGAGGAGCAGACGCTGGGCCCCTCCTCCTACTCCGGCCTCAGCTCCGGCCTCCTGCAATTCCACTTCACGCCCTCAGCGCCACAGATCGAGTCCAACGCGCTGACGGTGCCGCCCCCCTTTGGCCTCCCCAGCACGACCATCGTCGCCGAGGAGCAGGGCTGGGCCATCATCAGCGAAATCGACGACACGATCAAGATCACGCAGACCCCGGATCCGATTGGCATCCTCAAGTCCACCTTCGTGGTCGAGACACCCGACCCCGTGCCCGGCATGCCCGAACTATACACCCATATCACCCAGACTCTGACCACCCCGCCCCCGCAAGCCAGCACACCCCCAAACGCGCCCCCCTTCTTCTACCTGTCCGCCTCCCCCTACAACCTCTACCCCTTCCTCCGCCGCTTCCGCGACGCCCACTACCCCCCCGGCACCATCATCCTCCGCGACGCCAGCTGGCAGAACCTCGGCGGCCTGATCGCCAGCCTGCAGGACAACACGAAGGAGTACAAAGTCGACCGCATGGTCAAGATCCACTCTTGGCTCCCACACCGCAAATTCCTCTGTATCGGGGATAGCACGCAGAGTGATCCCGAGGCCTACGGGGAGATCGCGCGGCGGTTCCCCGGGTGGGTGCGCGCGGTGTTCATTCGGAAGGTGGAGGGGATCGCGTTGATGGATAAGAAGACCAAGAATGCGCCGGCGAGGTTTGAGAAGGCGTTCAAGGGGTTGGACGGGAGGCTGTGGCATGTCTTCACCGACCCCGGGGAATTGGCCGAGAGGGTGGAGGAGCTGAGGCGGGAAGGAGACGCGCTGGGGGGTGGAGACTGAGAGTTGGCGTCCGCTTTGTGCGATGCATCATGCGGTATGACTGATGAGAAAATGCGCGACATGCCTGTTCAACAGCGACTGCACGAGACGAGTCTGCATCGAGACGTCAAGGGCTGATGAGAGCAAGTCCGTAACGCGGGTTGCCACGTTTATATCCAAGCTATAGACATGTTGCGTGCCCGCCTGCTCTCCCAATGCCACCCGCCCTATCTACTTCGCCACGGGGCTCAATGCACCTACAATACATACCGGGGGTATAGAAAGAAGAACCGCCCCGACCGGCTATATATCGTGCACATGGGTCTTGAGATCGTCCGCCGCCAAATCGGGCTTCCGTCCACAAAATCGAGCTTCCATCCATCCGTCCCAGACTCACGCTCGGCGAAGCGCTACCATTCGAGTCCACGTCGCGTGCCGATCGCCAGTAGATATGTCCCAGCCCTTCACGTGTAGTGCGTCACAGCGGGGGCCATCACACCAGCACCCGACTCTTCTGCCGCCGGTGGAACAGATTCCGGAGACTCATCGACCGCCCGCTCCCGCCCCCACTTGCACTCCCACTCCCACCTTTCGCGGTCGCCGTTGCGGATGCCGTCGTGGGCCGACTGCCCACCAGCGAACCCGCCGCACTCCCACTCCCATTCCCATTCCCCAGCTTCGACGCCGGCGTACTCCGCACACTCCCCGCATTCCGCACCCCGTCCACCTCCCCACCCCGCGACGCCGGCGTCCCCTGCGTACTCCCTCTGCCCCTCGAGCTCCCCATCCCGCCTCGCATGCTCGCCGCGCTCGGCGTCAACGGCTCGTCCGCGCGCGGAAACAACCCCAACCGCGACGGCGGGCGCTGGGGCGTCGCATCCGCGTCGGTGTGCGGGTCCGTCGTGGTCGGTGGCAAAGGCGGCGGATGTGTCGGCGGGGCTTTCCACGGGTTTTCGCTGCGGCAGTCCTCGAGGAGGGGTTTGCGGGGGATGCTGGGGGGATTGGTGGGCGGTACGGGAGCGGGGGCGGGGGCGGGTGTGATTGTGGTTGTGGGAGTGGGAGTGGGGGCGGGGCTGGGCGCGATGGGGGTCAAGTCCGGTCGGTAGCTGCGCGAGGCGTCGATGGGCGGCGGGATGTGCTTGAGGCGGTGGGAGATGCGGCGGGCGAAGCCGGTGCTGCTTGCGTGTCAGTCAGGCATACCGTGGCAAACATGCATGTATGGCAGGGATTGGCATGTGCGTACCTCGCGACCGAGTCCTTCCGCCCCGCCGCATCCGCCCCACGACTACTAGGCCGGCTGTTATTCCCCTGACTCGTAAGAATGACCGCCGCGCCGTGGCTCTTCGTTCTCGCGGGCGCCGCCTCGCCCGCCGCCGCGCCGTTCATCAGCTCATTCGCGCCCTGGCTCCGCGCCCTCGCCGGCCGGCCCTCGGTCTTCGCGCCCTCGGGAGGGTGGCTGCGCAGCGGATTCACATGGTCGGGCAGCTCCGCAGCAGGATCGCCCCGCCGCGAGCGACCGGACTGCCGCAGGAACTCCGCGAGGTCGTTCGTCCCTCCGCTCGACATCCGCGCGTCGCGCGGTGCGCCGGCCGTGCGCGGGCGGGCCGGACTCCCGTTCGGCATCGCGGAGGCGCGTCGAGTATTGGGAGGCGGTGGTGACTGCGGGGACTGCCGCGGCTGCTCGTAGCGCTGCGCGAAGGGGACCGGATGCGGTTTCGGCCCCGTCGTCATCCTCGCCGCGTCGGGTTCGCGCGGCAGCGGCTTGTTGAGCGCGAGCGCGAGCGCGGGTACAGGCACGGGCTTCGCGGCGGCGGCGTCGTCGCGCGCGAACTTCGAGCGCAGGCCCGGCGAGACGGGCATGGATCGCGTGGAGCGCGAGGCGGACTGCGCGCGGCTGCTCTGCTGCGCGCTGCGTCGGCTGGCCGCGGCGGCCAGCCTGGACATCTCGCCGATGACCGTGCCGAGCTGGACCAGG